CAGTGCTCCCCCACCCAGAGCCATCCCGGCTCCGGGTGCTCCCTGCTCCGGAGTGACTCCAGCTCCCAGTGCTCCCCCACCCAGAGCCATCCCGGTTCCAGGTGCTCCCTGCTCCGGAGTGACCCCGGCTCCCGGTCCTCCCCGCTCCGGCATGACCCTGACTCCCAGTGCTCCCCGCTCCGGAGTGACCCCGGCTCCCAGTGCTCCCCAGCCCAGAGCCATCCCGGCTCCCAGTGCTCCCTGCTCCACAGTGATCCCAGCTCTTGGTGCTCCCTGCTCCACAGTGACCCCGGCTGCCAGTGCTGTCCTGGCTCCGGGAGCTCCCCGCTCCAGTGACCCCAGCTCCAGGTGCTCCCTGCTCCGGAGTCATCCCAGCTCCAGGTGCTCCCTGCTCTAGAATCACCCTGGCTCCCAGCACTCCTACTCCAGACCCATCCCAGCTCTTGGTGCTCCCCGCTCTGGAATCACCCCAGCTCCCAGTGCTCCCCAGCCCGGAGCTATCCCGGCTCCCGGCACTCCCGATCTGGAGCCATCCCGACTCCTGGCACTCCTCCTCCAGACCCATCCCGGCTCCAGGTGCTCCCCACTCCAGAGTTGTTCCGGCTCCCCCTGCCCCGGAGTGACCCCGGCTCCCAGTGCTCCCTGCTCCAGAGCCATCCTGGCTCCTGGCGCTCCTGATCCGGAGCCATCCCGGCTCCCCCTGGCCCACCTGGAAGACGGCTTTGGTTCGGATGCGCTCAGCCACGAGGTGCAGAGCCTGCGCGTTGAGGCTGCCGCCGTTGTCCATGTCGGCCACCAGCGTCGGGAAGGCCTGCGGGACGGGGCGCCGTGACCCACGGCGGGCCGGGGGGCCGGGGGCCACACGCGGAGCCCCCCGGGACCGTCCCGCTCACCTCAGCGGGGCCGAGCTGCCGGTCGCCCACGTAGGTGGCGTTGAAGCGGTAGCCGGAGGCGCCCAGGGTGCTCATGTGCACGGTGTGGGTCACCTGCGGGATGGGATGGGACGGGACGGGGTCGCTCCGGACGGGACGGGGTCACTCCGGAGCGGGACCGGCCCCGCGGGCGCCGCCCACCTGGAAGTGGCTGCTCAGGGCCTTGTTCACCACCAGCTTCACGCCCTCCATCTGCTGCGGGAAAACCTCTGTGGAAGGGGGAAAAGGGGGGGGTCAGCGCCTGCCATGGGACACCCCCGTGCCCCCCACCGAGGCCACCCGCGCACCAGGGCACCCCCCTGCCCCGTGCCCCCCTTGTACCGGGACACGAGCCCACCCTGTGCCCCCCCGGAGGTCACCCAGATGCCAGCACCCCATGTCCCCCCCAGCCACCTCTGTCACCCCCTGTGTCCCCCCTCCTCAGAGGCCACCCTGATGCCAGCACCCCCTGTGTCCCCCTCCCCACTGTCACCC